TTTGTTTGCTTCCTTAGTATGCCTCCCACTACCACAGAAAATTTCAGTCAGATAGCTTATTAGCTCGCTGAGATAGAGAGGTTGAAGGCAAGAAAGTCTATGATTTTTAATGAATCATCGTACAAAAAATGAAGTTTCTGAGGGACAAAAAAAAAGAAAAAAGAAAAAGTAAATAGCATATTCTGTTCAGCATTTGACCACCTACTCAAATATATCACTCGCGAATACAATGCTTATTTCTCTTTTGTTCGTCTATGACAAAAACCCTTTTACAGACACTTTTCCTTTTTTGTGTAGAGAAACACAAAACTCTTTCCAGCAAACAAACGGATAAAGCTAAAGGCCTAGTGCGTTCCGGGAAAGAAAGAGCTTGTATCAAGTAACCAAATGATTGAAAAAAGTGTGAGTCTCCTTATTGTTATTTTATAGAAAACCAAGGAAACTTTTTCAAAAATTGCTTTTTGACTCACTTTGTAGAGAAACATTTTGAAACTTAGTTTAGCTTTATCTCCCGATAGACTCAGTGGATCTTGTTGAAACTTACACAATAGAGAGAGCATAAAAATTTATACAACTGATAAAAATCTCAGGGTAATTCAATATTGTCTTCCTATAAAATTTTGCATTATACGACAAAATGTAGAGAAACATTTTTTTCAAAAACATGTAGAGAAACACTTTTTGTCTGTTTTTCGGCCTCGCTCGACTCAAGTATACGCTTCGGGAGATTTGCGTATCCATGTTGAGTAGAGAAGAGAGCTGTGATAAAAGAAAAGCACAAGAATTTCCTAAAGTTGCTACTTTTGGAAGCATTAGCTTGGCACGCAAGTTCTGCATGGTTTTCTCGTGTTGTAGGTAACTTTCAAGCTTTATATCTTGCTGTTAGAAGGTGATAGAAGTTCCAAAATTTCAGATCTATATCGTTTTCTAATCGTCAGATATAAAGCCTGAAAACTGCCTGAAACATAAAAAAAACTTCTAGAACTTATGTGTCAATCTAATATTTCACGGACGCTAATATAGAGGTATCTTGGCCTCTTGACACGTGGTATTTGGGAAATTTATGCCACACACTCAAGAAACAATGATGAATAAGATGCGTAACTTGAATTTTCTCTAAACACACTTTCATTTTTTCCCCTTAATTGTACAACAAAAATACGATTCACTCATATATGTTCTAATCACTGGAGGATTCAGCTATTCAGCGACTGCAACCGTTCCATAATTATTTTCTTTCAATAGAAATGAAAAGAAAGGACTTGTTATTGCCTTGAATAGGCTTCGAAAACCGTTTTTTGACCATGATCGTCGCTTCCTTCGGCGAACAGGCATCCCTTTACTGATATTCTGCATCCGCCACTGGTTCTAATCTATCCAATCTTCTATTTTGTTCATGTAAATTCTGAATAATCTTTCTATTTGTTTCTAATATTTAATTTTAGCAATACAATAAGTTTATCAAAACGTTTATCTGATTGTTATGCAGGTCATCATTCATTACAAAATATATTTAATCCTGAAACATGTCCTTTACGTGATAAGTAAAATAATATTATTTTATTTTTGTTGATTAAAAAAAAATATTTATTAATTTAGATTTAAACAAATATGTGAAACACATTTACTTGATGATCCAATTGATTATGGTTTAAAAATAATTGATCTTCTTTGACGTAAAGCTGCTTATGATCCCATACAAATATTTGAACGATATCGACAAAATTCTGATGAAAATCTAATAAAAGAAATTCAAATAATGTATCGTATGCACAGAGCTGGGCAAAATACTCGAAGTACTCGTACTCGAGTACGATTTTGGTCGTACTCGTACTCGTACTCGTACTCGAAGGGTCGGTACTCGTACTGGTACTCGTACTCGGGGGGTCAGTACTCGTACTGGTACTCGTACTCGAGGAGTTGGTACTCGTACTGGTACTCGTACTCGAGAGGGGTTGGTACTCATACACATACCCGACGCTCTTATATTTAACCCTTTGAGTACCGACGACGCGAATTCGCGTCCTGATAGTTTAGGATCCAAATAACTTTAGAAAACATGATCGTTTGATTATTTTATGATATGAATTACATGAATATTTGCGCTTAGGATATTTGTACACTTAAGACTATCTGTACCTAGTAATGAATATTGGTTGTTCCCTAATATTTCTATCGACCACTATGTGATTCAATGAATTAGAACATAAGTCATTGGACAACATTTTCTAAGAAAGAATAATCGTTATCAACAGGATTTTTCATATTAACACAGTCGTCATTCAGGAGTGTTATCTATAGTAAAGGTTCTGATCAATTGATCACATTTGATAACATTTTTCTTCGCGCATTGAATCAACAGAGACTCAACTAAATCCAAGAAGAAAATGTTACGTTTGTGCCAATACTGTGAGAAGAGCCAGATCAAGAAGAGATACTTCGTATGAATGCATTGAATGTGATGTAGGATTATGTCTTATAGATTGTTTCAAAGACTATCACACTCTACAAGCATTTTAATTCGTGTACTTTGTAATATTTTTTGCGAAATAAATGTTAGTTTGAAATTATAAAAATTTTTATTATATAAAAATAATCCGGTACTCAAAGAGTTAAAAGTTTAGAAATATAGTACTTTTTATGCAAAGATAATTATGTCTGTGTGTTGTTTAAAAATGAAACCAATCACTGATGGCTTCTTTTCTATCGATGTTAATGTGAATATACATATAAGCATTTGCACCACATAAAGTCTTATAATAATTGCCATGTTCTATTCTCGTTATCCTCTTTATTAATTCACTTATATCCATTAGTAATACTATATATAGGATTCGTGTTTACGTTATCCATTAGTCTTTTTTTCTTTCTTCTTCATTGCATAATGAATAAAATCGATTGGTTTCAATAACTGTCCATTTGTTGTTGTTTGTATTGTTATTTTGAATAATATT